GGTTTTAGCTGCAAATATTCCAGAATTACTCATACTGTTAAACATTTTTGTGGTAGTCTAGTTTAAATTTGTTATCAACTGAATCGGTAGAATCCTGGGAGTTATATTGAATTGCATATGAGTTGATTTTCATACAAGTAAATGTGACTAACACTGCTGTCTTGGTTTGTGATTATTTTACTAATTTTACAATAATAAGATATTAGTTATACAGCTCAGATTTCGTCACATACAATATATAGTTTTAAACGAACCACCTAGGCCAGTATTAAGACTACTTATTCTTTCGTGTGTCTTTATTGAAACTAAAATTATATACAACTGCTGTGAAGATTCATATAATCAGAAATCATAGAATAGTCATAGATTATTAGTAGAGAAAAAAATTATAGTCCTTCCTGCTAAGCTGAGAAATATGCATACACGAATTTAGTCGGTTCAAAAGAATACACGAAACGATGATCAAAAACCAAAAAATAAACCCCGAATATCAAAGTATAAAATTCATAATAAAAAAATAAAGTGACAATTTTTTGAAATATTTGTTGTCTTAAGCGATTAAAATATGTTTTATCATAGGTATTTTAGAAACAAATATTTTGTTGTGTATTTTTCTCTGTTTGCTATTTTTGAAAGCCATTTTGGGAGTATAATATTATGCTAAATAACATCATTTATAAGACAATATGTATTGCGCACTTTTAAATTTTAGTTTAGAGATAGTGTAACAAATATATTTTTTAACATGAACGAACGTTCGAATCAACTATTGACATAAATCCGAAAGGCAAATACATCAGCTTTATTGCTTCCTGTTTCCTAGTGATTTTTCAGCGAACAACGTTAAACCTACTGGCGGCTTAAATTAAAAGACCAGACATTTCGAATGAAAGAAACACGTCTTTATTTTTCGATTTGCTCATACATATATATATTGTTTATATTGTTGGCAACATTCCCGTATCTTTTTATTTGCTTTTCTATTTGCCATGGTATGCCTGAAAACCTATAACTCATACTGTTCACAAAACATTATATATATATCAATACATTGGAAGCGATGAATCAGAATCAATCAAGCAGTGGTTACATTTTTCACTCATACAACGTTAGAAATAAAATCTTATTTAAAGCCATCGGCTAAAGTGTGGGTGTACGTGTGAACGAGGGATAAATAAAATCGTTCATCATTACTTGGTCATTGTGCTCAGAAAGAAAACATATATAAAATATAATATTATTGTAAAATGTTGACTAGTTCGAAGTCTCCGAACCGTCTTTTAAAATAACAAATCTATGGGACACAGCTTGAAATATTTAACAAAATATCAGAACTTAGTTTCAACTTTCACTACATATCTATACCGGAAATATCGATTCGATAAGTAAGACAGTCGCTGTACTTTTACATTACCGCCAAGTCTAGTCATCTGAACCAAACCCATACACCATTAATCATACACTCAAAATTTAAGTTACTCTACTGCTCTACTGTATTATGTTTTGTTATAGAAAAACATTTCTTTAAATTTTATAAAATAAACTAACATAATATAATTAAAAGCTTAATATATTATTTGTCGATTATGTTGTTCTTTAAACTCAAATTATACTTAACTTACATAGTACATCTGGAATTATCATTTACATATTATTATACCAATACGATTATAACTAAGCCCAAAACTATGGTGTTTCACGTTTTTTTTTATTACAAAACACGTTAACAGAAATAGTTGCAAGTTAAGTGTTATTCTCCTTACAGTGCGTATCACAATTGCGTTTTATGATTGCCCAGTGTAAAGCAATTGTAGAACAATGCCGATTCGCAGGGGTTACAACCAAAAAAGCACCTTATAATTACAATTCCAGTTATACATTTTAGCACGTTCCTGAAAGCCATCATGCTCGAATACAAATGCACAGCACGCAACAGTCAAAAGATAAAACGCTATTAAATGTATTATGAAAAACATTGTCATTTTCTCATGAGATATGCAAAACAAAGTCCCATCGAGAATTCGTGATGTTTGCTTTATTTTTTATTGAGAAATCGTTATAAAAAATATTATTGCTGTCTTGTAGTTTTCAATGTAATCTTATTTTACGTTCATAATAGACGAATCAAAGCGTTCAATAGAAATATAATAAAATTACAACCATGATCATTTTGAACATATTATAGACAATTTTGTTGTCTATAAATTGATGAAATGTACACAATATCAAATCTTGGTTACATGAAATGTGTGCAAATTGCGATTTGTGGTATCTCTCTGTGTATTGCCGGGTTCTCAATGGGAGCAACGTCAATAAAGTTATAAGAGCATTCACGGAGAGAGCTGGTAGGGTGTGAATCGCAGTGTGAAATACTGGACTCGGCTGGTGATTTACAGACGTACCTACCTACGGGAATGGTGGCCATTCACACTGTGCCCGCGACTATGACATACACGGCACGTACGTCACGGACTCTCCGAGGCGACCGGGTAGCCATGGGCAACGGGGATCACACGGCGGAGGGTGAACCGGCCGAGGATTGCCGCCGAGGGTTGGCGGGGTGTCAGATCAATTTCGCTATACCGCTCGCCGTCGCCATCGGTTTACCTGTATACCGCATCCCCGCCACCGTCCCCTATTATACATAGTGTGTGTATATATAGACATAATATATACCGGCTTTATCAGACCCGCAGATAGTGTTGGCTAAACAAAATAATGTAATACGTCATCGCCGCCGCCGATCGACGGAACGAAACGGCTGCTGAACCCCCCGAAACCCACTACTAACGAGCTTGGTCACCGGCTGGCGCCCGCGCTATCCCAGTCTTTTCGTCGCCGCCATTCAACGCAAAGTCTTTAATTCCATTCAGGTACTCTTTTTAACCAACGTCGCTGGTCTTCGCCATTGGCCATCGCCCCCGCACCCGTACTGCTTTTATGGGCCCCTAATTAAACATCACCGTGGCTGTCTCGGCCACGTCACTCAATCGTTTCAACGGTTTTCGCGAACAATTATCATTACGCGCGTTTGGACAAATATTGTTTTTAATTTATATTGTAATACCTACGTACGAGACAGGGTAGTGAACAGGGTTGAAAAATTTAAGTCATCTTTTATCAGTTATCCAGAGACTTTTGATTTCTCCTTATCACAGCATCATATCCTCATACCATCTCCTCCTCTCAAATGTGTGACAAAACAGTCATACAAATGATCGACAGACGGGTTCAATTTTTTTGTAGTACATATCAGTGTGTCTCTAAATTGTTCATCTTTATATTTTTTAAAATGAAAAATCGCTATACCTAAAATAAAAAAGCTGTCAAGACAGCTTGAAGCAAGTTTAAAACAACAAATTACAAAATGACAGCGCTAAAATCTGTTACAGAACACTTTTTAACATATATTGCTTATATTTTAAATACTGCTCCTTGATAGTTGATAAAGAGTCATACACATGCGGCATGTCCATTAAATATCATAATATAAAACACAAAGAAATCAAGTTACTTTTATACTTATGACTGCAAGTGGCTGTTTAAATTTCTTAGTAATTATTCTTAGTTATTACTAAGTCAAAGCATTCGAAAAACATTCTTTGGATTTTAATAAAATCAGTAGTTTTTAAATTTTATTGATTTATAAAATACTATTTATAACATTTATTCACACATTTGTCCTAAAGCTTTTACTTCCAAAGTTTAAATTGAAAAACTATTAACTATGTTTTCTTTGTGACCATTATTAATGGTATAATGACCGTCCAGTAAACATTTACATTTATTGTTTGTAATAATACCGAATTAATGTGGGCAAATTCTATCCTTCGAAATCCCCTTAAACAATAAGTAAGGGCCCCAAATACAATGGTAATTTAGTACAATTGGAACGGAAATGTCACCCAAATACGGAGAATTGTTATTAATGTAACTTTTCCGATTCACCTACCCGTTCGTACAATTAAATTATTCAATTTATGGTAAATCTTATCTAAAATGGAAGGCAAATTGATTTGATTATTATTATTCCCGAATGATTTGTATAATTATTTATCAAACAATATTAAAGGTACGCAATTCTAATTAAATCAATCCTATGGTTGTTCAAAGTATTTGCACTACAAATACTACAAATGCTACTATTATAGCTGTAAGATATTTCGTCCCGTTCCAATTTTAATAACATATAACACTTTCTTTTTTCTCTTCTTAATTAACGGAATACTTATCTTCGAATAATAACGGTTATAAACTGACAGCGGGGTTGTAGTTTTATTTAATAGCTCTTAAAATTGTAGCATAACAATAATAATAAAAAAATAGCATTATCAGTCTTGTGACTCGGGAGATTTTGCTTACAGATTATTTTGATTTAAACGTTTTCAATTACTAAACCTCAGCATCGAGACAATACTAATAATAGTACCATATTCATTCAAGCCGTATAAATGTCAGTAAATAAAAGCTGACAGTGTCAGATTTTTCATAAACCGCACTTATAAATAATCCACCAATTATAATTGGAAATCTTAAGTATGGCGTAGGTTGTGCGATTAAATAGTAATCAAAGGAATAAAATAAATAATATTTTATCTTTGATATAAGGCTGTCAGGATATTAGTTTTACATCGATGTGCTTTTATTTTAACTTTGGTTCTTTTGTTCAAATCAATGAAAACACATTTAATGTCACTTAAACACTTAAACATTTTTATGAGTAAACTTGTCGTTAATAAATAAAAACACCTCAGTCGTGTAGGCCTTAAAAATGATTTAAACCATGGTTGAAATCATAATTATTATTCGATGCGAATCCATATTGTGTATAAACACAAAATATCGAAAAAAGGTTTTTAAGACTGTATTATGCTTAGAATTGTTTCTTTTTTACTATTTAGGTGGATACTGTTAGAATTATAGTATGATTTCGATTAATTTTAATTTTTCCCCTAGGAAAATTATATTGGTGTTAATTTTTGTTTTTTATATGCTTTCAGCACTCAAAAAAATATGGCAAATCTTAAAAGGAACCCGTCGATTTGTTTGGTTATTCTGTTTGCGCACTTTGCTCAACATTGCTGGTAAGTAATTCATTTTGTTGATACGAAATTTGTTTAAACTGCGATAATGTAAATCAATTACTTAATTCCCCTAGTTACAACCGAAATGCACACAAGTAAGTAATTTTATTCCTCGATCCTCGTGATCATATTTTTACTGGGTAATTTATATAGTACAATAGATACAATAGATCCAACAACGGTTAGTCTATTATTTCAAATACATTTAACTTATACATACTTTTTTCTTTGTGAAAAATGAACTTTTTTGGAAGTGCGTTTGAACGAACAATCCAATCATATAAATGCCTCACTTGCATGTTTTGATGTTTATTTAAATAGTATAAGTGTCTCAGACGTTGTAATACTTAGATCAATCAGACCCGTTCTGGAAAATATTTATCTCAAAGTCGAAAAAATAAACATACTTAGTTTTTCTTTGCGGAGCAAAAAATATAATTTCGGTTACGTTTTATTGCGATTTATTTATTTGACAGTTAGCTAAAAGTACATTCTCTTTTTCTTATTTTCCCAACGGTAATGGTTTTGTTTTTCAGTTCAAGACTTGACGATGATAGCTGTACGTATTCAGGAAATTCACACAGGTGCCAACCCAAAGTGGTCAACTACAGGGAAAAAGAAAAAGAGGTCCTCGATCAGATTCTGGGTCCAGGTAGTTACGATGCCAGAATACGACCATCTGGAGTAAACGGCACAGGTAAAACATCTATTAAATAAAATAAAAACACCTTTTTTTTACTCATTTCATGACCATCAAAACTAATATTATTTATCAAGGCTGGGTAATTTTTCATATTAACACTATTACAGCTAGAATTTAAGTCATCTATAAGTTAACTTAGTTAAGGTGTATACTTTAAGCTAACCAAATGTAACTCGAGCCAATTGAACATACCATCGCGTTCTTCAACCATATTTAAGTCGATGACATTTTCAGAAGTTGAATTAATGATTGAAAAAAAAAACATAATAACTAGTTAAATCAAATAAGTCAATATTAAATTAATTTCCCAACTTACCTTAAACCTTATAACGCTTGCCCGAATGCCCAGCCTTGTGATATTAACTTTATTTGTTTATGTTTCTCATTTTGTTAGGAAAAATTAATTGAACCCAAGTAGGCACACTGATATTATTAGGTATTCAAATCTAGATTAGTCCCCGGAGTCGTCGAGAGGGTTCATTTTTTTTTTTATATTTTATTTTACTATTTTCTCGTTTATTTTATTTGTCTTCTTTTATTTATGTGTTCGTTCTTTCTAGAGGCTCGACAACCTTGGCAAGCTCAGGTGTTGTTTTGTATACCCACTAAATATATATATAGGTATGTTTTATAGCTAGCGGCATATGACGTTTGTTTGTTTCTTTTTTTAACTTATAACCTTTTCTCTAAAAAATGTTTTCATTGAACACTATTTGTTGAGTGTACAGTTAAATCTAATTTAATACTGATTCCTAGATGGTCCGATGATTGTTAAAGTAAATTTATTCCTACGCAATATCGAGAGAATTTGTGACAACAAGATGGTAAGTTGAACGAACTTTCATATTCGTTCACAAGTCTCAACACAACGCATATTATACATTCATTTTTTTTATTATCAAGCATTTCTCTTCGACAAGTATTCTATACATTTATTATTGATACGATGAATCCACAAAACTTGATTGTCTTTTTCAATTATTTACTAAGCAAATTTTTATTCGTACGCACTTTTATAAGCACATTATAAAAGGCACACTAATTATTTATGATATGATGACGTATAATGCATACAAGGTCTTGAAAATTATTCAGAAAGTCAGTTAATTTCTATAAATAATTGTAATTTCTCACAAGCTAAAATGCAAACATACTGATTGGTGTAATTTAAAAAGTAATCTGACTCTCTAAATAATTATTGACACTCTGTAATGAAAGTATGAATTATATTGACCAGAACAAAACTTACAACCGAACAAATTACCATATAGTATATTTAATTGAGCTACAAACAATAACCATTAGTTTAAAATTAATTTAAAAAGCCTTGTCATCTAAAACGTTTCGCAAAAACGTATTTTTTCTCAGTTCTTTACTAAAAAAAAAAATACTATATTTATTTTCATCTAAATAAATTAATGCTCTATTTTTCTGTATAAATTATACGGTGTCTTAAACACATTTTATAACAATTCTAATATCTCAAAACTCAATGAATTTTTAAAATGAAACTATAAATTTAAATTTAAATTGAATGGTTAAAAATCATTATCATAACTTAAAATAATTATCGAGTCTCATAATTATTCATTTCTTTCTCTAATGGAAATGCTTCAAAAAATGTGTTTTGTTATTTTGATTCTGTCAACCAGTATTTTTAACATAAGCATTCATCCTATCCAAAATTATTTTGTTTTTATCTTTTAAAAAGAATAATTTCTGCCATTATTTTTATCGTTGTAGTTTTTATATCGCACAAATATTGAACAAAAATCAAAATAGTGATTACTGTCACACTTAAATTTAATCATTTCTGCAATACATTTTTAAAAACGCAATATGTTCGGGGAAAAACTCGTATTTTTTTTTTTTTTTACATATGTATAAAGTTTATTTAAATAATTGTAATTTTTCAATCAAATTTAGAATAAATCTTAACGTTTTCGTGTTATTTTTTAGGTATTTGGTCATTTGTCAAACTACTGGTTCTAGTTGTAAATAGGGACCATTACTTTGTTTGAAAGTTAATTTCTAAATAAAATTAAAAATTAAAATACTTAAATACAACATTAAAGGGAGATTAATGTGTTTTTCAATATTCAGTCGTGTATTTTGATTTTCTTATAGAAAAAAAGCCATCAACAAGATTGTTTACAGCGTACACGTGCCTTTTATAATATTTTAAATACAAATTCTCTCGAGTGTTATTCACACGCTGTGTTGAATTTCCCCTTAGACGTATAGATTATTTCTTGGCTTGTTAATTGTGAAAAATCCGAGAAAAGTTTCAAATGCCGAGTGATGAATACATATTAAATATTTTGTTGCGTCCTAATTAACTCGAGATGATAGAATATAAATTTGTCTAAAATGTTTATAACTCCCCAGATGGTCCGACAATTGTCCGCATTAATCTATTTGTGAGAAGTATCATGACAATAAGTGACAACAAGATGGTAAGTCATCTTGGTCGGATTGAATGCTGGTATTTTGAACAAAAAGAAACGCAATTTTGTTATTGTTTTTATTTTATTATTATTGTTAATTTTTATTTTTTTATATTTATTTTTATTAGATAAAAATTTATATTATTATAAAATAATTATATTATTATTATAAAAATCAGCGTAAAGTTTACAACAATACTATTGCGTTGTTGTGTAGATGGACCCGTTCGCTATATATTTAGAGTTTACCTTAAATAATATTATTGTCACCTGCTCTTATATGATGACTGTTTTATTTTTGCATTCCTAGAAAAAAGATATATATTTTTTAATTTTTGTACATTACTTACGTTTAACGACGATATTGTGAATAATATGGAAATAGGGAAAACAATTATGTTTGATATTGATCCGCGGTTGGGTCGAAAAATGGTCCAGTCAAAAGAATTTGGTAGTTTTGAAGTTAATTTGATATGTCCCTAATAGTTTTGTCAGTATCAATACTAGCACAATATTTTCTAACCAGTTTAGTAAAGACTGACAAAATTGTATTAATAATTATTTGCAATTAAGATACAATATAAATTCCTATACAAGTACGCTTACAAAGATATTTCAGTCTTTATCATAATATAATATATACTGTGCTTGTCGACTTTGTTAGTCTCGGTTGTCCTATATAATATTATGCACTTATAATAATATACACAAGTATTTAACTTATACACAACAAATAATCCCGCAATAGTATCATATTATATTATTGTTGAATAAACATTATTACTGTTTAGGCGATTAGACTAGTCCTGTATTAATTCTGTAAGCTAAGCAATAATACAACAGAATTATGCTTCTGTATTAGGTTTGCCGTCCGTATGAAGCCCGAGGATTATAATATTGTTGTTAGAGCAAACATTAGTATCATATTAAAGTTCTATATAATGATTTACTATTATGATGAAGTCTAGTAAAACTTAAGTGCGCGCTTTGTCTTTGTAAACTAGTCGTTGAGCAATTGTATTTGCAGACAATAAATAATTCGAGTCTTACAAATTAAACGTATTGAGTCGCTAACTACTATAATGTCTAATAATAATAATAATAATAATAATAATAATAATAATGTATACAAATCGATTTATAGCGTTTTAAATTCACTGACTTAAAGTATAAACGTTGATAGAGTTTTTTTTATACCATTAAATATTATTAATCACACATAAAATAAAATATACCATTAGGTTTGCTAGATAGATTAGGCAATGTCGGATATTGCTTATTTCATATAGGTCAAAGTTCAAGTACAAAGTATAAGTAGTCAAAGCACAGCATTTCGTGGTAAACTTTTATACTTGCAATTTAGAGTAGGTGTAACATTTAGTTGTTTTCAATGAAATTATACTATATACGCAGATTTCTTAAATCAAACAAAAAATGTAATCAATGATAAATACATTTTTTTTTTTACAAAAATGTACGTTCACATAAGCACTATACATAGCGTCATTAAAATTATTTTTTTGTGTCATTTTTCACAAGATAGATATTTTTAAAAAATATGTATGGAAAGTATCATACTTTAAAATAAAATTAAACAATGAAACGCAGAAAATTATAATATAATATTTTAAATATTAAATCTGATTTCAGCGCATTTTTTTTTTTTTTTGTAAAATTCAAAACATTTTTATAGTTGATGCTGAACAACTTATGTTTTTTGATAATATTGTGATTGGAGCATTGAGAAAAAATGATTTTAAGACCACAAACAATGCGGTGATTTGACTTTTAAATTACAGAGGCAAAATTATAAAAATTTAAATGGGCAGCGAATAGTTTGAGTTATAAAATACACTTTGAATTATTTTAATAGGAGTTGTTTATTTATTTTGATTTTATTATGATAATACTACTTCGGACGGTATTTTTAAGTTTATATTTTTTAAACGTCGAGTAAAAAAAATATTATTGCCAAGTGTAGTCTGATAATAATAATAATAAAAACTGATTGCATTTCCATCTATTATTTATTTTTAATAAAAATGCAAATTTGTTAAGAATAATATTGTTTGGCTTCCAGTTTATACAGATATACATACCGTGCATTAATTACATTAAAGTCGAATCACTCGAAAACGCTTTAATAGGCTTACATTATTTTGTAAACCAGCTTTATTGTTTCTTTTAACATTCGTGTTTTCCAAATTCAACTTATTAAAATACAAATGGACGATTCAAACTTATAAACCTGTATAACTTTATATTATACTAATATTCTATTATATATACCTCTGTGCTATAAAGTATTCAGTACCTTTCACAACGCCCAAGTAGTTTAGCTATGTTTTAATAACAGCAACACCTAAACAAGTACCTCGATGAAAAACCAAAATATTTCAATTCCTTTTCAGCAAAATGCATATTTAAATCAGATAGAATTGATCATTTTTTCTTTAGAAGATTAGTAACGTATAACACTATATTTAGATACTTCATAAACGACAGTTGTTAGCGTTTATTTGCTTATATATTGGACACTTGCGGTACGTTTTAGGGTAATCACCGAAATAATTGTTATCAAAAATAAATTATTATTTAACGCTATACTATATTGATCATAATTGATAGATAAATAATTGTACAACCATTGAAAAAATAGCGCTAGACGCCTCAACACACAATAAATATAATATCTATACGTCGTACTCCCGTTTCTTTGCATTAACAAACGTAATAGCAATATTATATGCTTAATCGACTATCAGATTGAAATTGGTTTTTATTTATTTTACGATTATTATTTGTTTAATTGTAATTGAATTGTTCGAAACAATGTAAAATGTTAAGTAGTACGCCTTTTATTTTTTTATTTAACCACTGACTATGTATTATCCTGTCTGGTCTTTATTGTATCCCGCAGGCGACTCTCCCTGCATTGTGAATGTCAACATGTTGGTACGGTCCATCAGCAGAATTGATGATTACAAAATGGTGAGTCGGGTGATGGCCTTAAATAAGTTTTGTTGATTTTGTTTTGTTTTGTTTTAACATTTTTTTATTGTTTTATATTAAAATTGATTATACTTTGGATTTTTTTTTATGAGATTGCGCCCAGTTTATTTGCCAGTTTTATGTTGTTTTAAATAATATATATTATTTTAACATATTATATACATTGACCATTTGAAAATGTGGCAATCGTGCTAAACGGTATTGACTAGGTGCCGTGTGAGTATTTTGTGTTGGGTTCTCGTCTGACGCACAATTAAGTTGTTTTACAGAATTTTATTTTGACCGCAACAATTATTTAAAATATTCAAGCGAAGGTATAATTTCTGCATTTTATTTCATATTATAATTAATGCTATAAATAATTATTACCATTGTCATCTATTCTCTGGACAAGTAACGGGGTATGTTTATGTAATATAAGACGTCAAATGTATTCTAACAATATAATACAATTTGTTTAAAATTCGTTTGTGATATTTTTTGTATTTACAGAACTTGTAGGTAAGATGCGTAAGATAAAATACGTTCACGTTTGCTTACAAAATATTAGTTTAAACGAAATTCGAATATGATATAACAAAAATATAATATTGTAAAAAGTTACCATCAAATTGTACACATGTCAAGTTTCCGGTTAGGACATAAAACAAATTAAGATACTTTAAAATGGTTTCTACACAGTAATTATTATTCGACTGATAGCTGTCGAAATGACAGTTTCGCAAAATATAATTTTAATTTATTATAAGATAGAAATTGTATAAATACATAAATACATATATTTTAAAAAATTTTCTTTTGGAATAATATTACAGCGACAATATTATTTATAGAAGGAGTTCTCGTATAAAACGTTTTTTCCCCTACAATGTTTTTATCTAGAGAAAATCTTTAAAGTAAAAAGTCGCTGTTTTTTTCTTCCGAATAATAAAACGATAGACGTTAGATTATTTTTATTTTTATTTACAGAAAAACTTTTGAAGTCCTGTTTTTCCTTTGTTATGTTTATAGCTGGAAAAATAATTTATTTAACGAGTACAATAGGTATAGTATTTTTCAAACAATAACAATTTAATAAAAATATATTCTATGCATACCATAATTTTTTTGAAAAGTATTCACAAGATATACTATCACGTTATGACAATGGAAAAATGGAGTGTACTTCTGCAATTTTATTTTATTAAAGAACAATATGAAAAAAAGAATCGGTATTCCGGCGTTCGAAAGTGAAAGTCTTAGAACTTGGACTTTTGGATGTAATAAAAAAATAGTCATTATACGTTGGACGACGCCATGGAAATAATTCATTGCTTTTGTTTCTGTGATCGAAATAATAATAATAATATAGCTATAACAAACCTATAGGTATATAATTTCGATTAAGAACAAAATCAATTGTCAATTGTGTGCAGCTATCGATTGTGTACCGTGTGTGTGAGTCTGCATTATAAAACCCCTCGGAAAACGACTATAACCGCTTTTGTTGGATTTTGATTGGACTTGAAAATATTAACATGCGTTTGCGTTACTGAAAACAAACATTTTTTTTTCAACGACTGTCACCTGCCTCACTGTTTTAAAAAACCCAAAAATTCTCTGTGCCTCGGATGTGTATCTCCATGACGATTGTGGACCAGTCGGTTTTTTGTTTTCGCACTTGCATGAGACCTTTATTATTTTTCGTTCCGCCAATACACCATATTGTTAAATGCTTAGTTTACGCACTTTCCCGGTTGGACCAATCGCCTGGTCTCGGCTTGCTGCACTGCATACCCAAAAACATTATTATAGTTATTAAGATTTTATATTTCGTCGCTGAATGGCTACGGTATACATTATATTATATTGCGTTGCTCGATTTGGCTTTGTACGTACCATATTATTATGCATGTCGACGTGCCGAGTTCAGAGTGCGGCTCTTGGGTAGAATAAAAATTTAAAAAAAAAAGAAAGAAAGGTCTTAATCGGTCTAAGTTGTCGCTTTAAATCGCTCAAGAGCCGTCGACGAGCCAGCACCATTAAATAAATATTTTTTTAAAGCACTATTACGTTATTCGGCCTAAATTATGTTGAACGGTAGAAGGGAAGGAGGTAATATTTGTAAAAGTTTACAAGTGCAATACTTTGTTATTTATTAAGTTATTCCAAGTATAATTAATGTATTATGTTCCCTATATTAACCTAACCTAACACGTGTCTAGTCTTGTATAATTATTTGAAAATTTATTTTTTTGACCAATAATATAAACGTGACTGTGAGAACGCATCAATAGACTACTATTTTATGATATGGTTTTTTTTTTTGTTCTAAATGTTTTACCTCCTTCTCTTGTTCGGTTGAAACTTATATAAACAGTACAATCATAATAACGATTGTCTGATCTAAACATGTGTTTGGTGTGCTAGGAATATAGCGTGCAACTGACGTTCCGCGAACAATGGATGGACGAGAGACTCAAATTTAACGACTACAATGGTAAATACGAAGAAAACGTTATATTTACTCGCTAAAAGCTTTTATAAGAAATTCTATGGACGACATCTCTTACGAATGCTATGTCGATACGACGGGACGGTGACATAATACATATTATAATATTATAATGATTATTCATTTTTCCTAGATTTTTTTCAAAGAGATCTCAAGAGTTGAATTGACTCACAGCATATTGTTTCATGAGCAGACATTTGTCAATGATAAACGTCATATTTTAAATTTAAAAAATCGTCACCATTTATAAAAAAAAACACTCTTTTTAATGCTATTTTTCAAGACATTAGTTTCAAGCGATTTTTGTCATCACCATTTACCACTAACCGAAATAAAACAGTTCAAAATGATAAACGAAATTTTGCTTTGCTAGGTAAAATGAAGTACCTGACTTTGACCGAAACCAGCAGAGTATGGATGCCCGATTTGTTCTTCTCGAACGAAAAGGAAGGTCATTTCCACAACATAATAATGCCTAACGTGTACATTAGGATATTTCCCAACGGTCTGGTATTGTACAGTATAAGGTGAGCGATTATTTAATAATACAGTTTAAAATTTAAAATTTGCATATTAATATTCGAACATTTTTATTCTATCGCAGAATATCTCTCACCCTGTCTTGTCCGATGAACCTTAAGCTATATCCATTAGATCGTCAGACGTGCTCACTAAGAATGGTCAGCTGTAAGTAATAAATTCACTATATAGCTCATATTGTATGCGTTAAAAAAGTATAACATTAACATTTAACGTTGGATGTATTCGTTTGTATGTTATTTATTTAGACGGTTGGACAACTGACGATTTAGTATTCTTGTGGAAAGAAGGTGATCCCGTGCAAGTGGTTAAAAATTTACACTTGCCCAGATTTACATTGGAGAAATTTCTTACAGATTACTGTAACAGCAAAACTAACACAGGTACACATATAGTAATATGTACAACTGCTGTTTCGGATATAAATGACACATAAACCATACTTCATGATATGTCGATAGCACAGGACATGATTGCATTTTTTGAGAAATTCGGTTGTATCTAGTTACAGATCCCTAGTAGACTTATCTACACATTGTGTACAAACGTTTTGGTATCTCTGGAGACAAAGACAAAATATACAGAATCTCGGTGTACAGTTTAGAGAAAACTCATTTATTTTCCAGAATCTGCTTTAGTCCATCTACGTTATTCGAACTTTAAATTAAATGTCCCTTGTATAGTTTAATACAAATTTGTTCTAACTTATCTTATTAAAGACTGAAGTTGGTTTCAATATTTTATACTTCATGGAGAACAATGAATCATGGAAATGTTTTTGAGCCATCCCCACTACCGGCTGGTGTTCAAGCTCGTGTTCATATTCCTACCCTCTTTTTCTCTCTTAATACAATGCCTTTCTCCCTCCCTCCGTCTGCAATCTCCTTCCCTCCCTTTCCTCCATCGAAATATTACCTCCCCACCCTTTCATTAGTCACTGATCTCTTATCACCTGTCATTTATCAGAAGCCGTTATCATCTGTGTGTTATTACTATTTTCTTACTATTAACCCTTTATTAGCGCTAATTCTAGACAGACGCCCCCCTAGCCCTAAAACATATCCGGTGGGGATATTTTTTTAATATATTATTTTTCGACAATTTTTTGCCACAGGAGAATACAGTTGTCTGAAGGTCGACTTGCTGTTCAAACGCGAGTTCAGTTACTATTTAATCCAGATCTACATCCCGTGTTGCATGTTGGTCATCGTGTCCTGGGTGTCTTTCTGGCTGGACCAGAGCGCGGTGCCGGCTCGCGTGTCCCTGGGCGTGACCACGCTGCTGACCATGGCCACGCAGACCTCGGGTATCAACGCTTCCTTGCCGCCGGTGTCGTACACCAAAGCCATCGACGTGTGGACCGGCGTGTGCCTGACGTTCGTGTTCGGGGCGCTGCTCGAGTTCGCGCTGGTCAACTACGCGTCCAGGTCGGACACGCACAGGGACGACATGACCAAAAAGGACCTGGAGCGCACCGTGTCGATGGACGTGAACGACTACGAAGACGGGCCGAATTCATTCAATATGGTGAGATCGAATAGTACGGTGAGCATTGACCGAGCGCTGACGGCCGAAGCGCATGATTTACTTTCCAGCTGTTTCATTTGAACGTATTTTTCAAACATTCCCCCTCCCCTTTGTTACAATATTTTATTTACATTTTCGTTGAAAATAAGTAGGTATAACCGACTTGCCGAACCGTTGCGTTGACGAGAAAAGTTTCACTTTATCTTCGATTTCGTCTCGTGGCGGAGGAGTGGGCGCCACAAAGGATGCCACTACTATGTATCTATACTTAACACCTTAAATGACTGGCTAGATTAGAATTTCTCTCCCGGGCCATAAGGGATGAGGGGGTTGGTTAGCTGGTACCTACCAGAAGCGTAATATATTGAACAAGCGAAGGGAAAGAAAAAAATTGGTAGGATTAGTAAGCTTATAGCAATGTTACAATAATTTAAGAGTTCATATTTAGTCGTTGATAATTAAACGATGGCAGTACACAAATATTTCCTTTTTTTTAAACAATATTTTTATTAAATATACATTTTTATAAACTGCTGAGTACGCAGTACTTACTATGTCATATCTCAAATTATTTTCTTCTCGATAGAGATCGTTTAACTTAACATTGCTATAAATTGTATAACGACTAATCAAAAATATACGTCACTTAGTAGATATAAAATCATAAATATAATCGTATTTTTAGTTTTATATCTTGCCACTTCTCGAATTAAACTAAAGTTTATACATATGAACTTGATAAACTTTTCGTTAAGACATACATACATGGCATGTGTAAACCCTATTATGGATAATAAATGTTGAAACTGCATAGAATTATTAATTCATAACTAATGCTCGTTTAGTAGTTATACTTTAAAACCAGTAAAGTGCAGCACGCACTTGATTTAAAAAATAATCCCTTTTAAGAATGGTTAATCGACATTGTTAAAGTTTCTATGGTTTTTGTTTACTTTTGTAATAGTTAAAACTATTAAATATACCTAAATTTTGTTTTATGTTATGCATTGATCGATACTGTGTGTATCCCGTACCTGCAACATTATTTAACTCATTTAAAATACATTTATTTTTTATTATTTATAGTTATTATTATTATTATTTTTCAATGAAAAGCTGGGAATCAATGATTGCATGATCCGCATGGTCTGTATCCGTTATCAATCAGAGAGTTTCCGGTTATCGTACATAAATATTTTTGAAATACAATCAATGTGGTTGACTTAGTACACGACGGGTGATCGTTATTTTACAAAAAAAAAAAAAAAATAGAAATGCATTTATCCGGAAACTTGATGATTGTTAAAACCGCTTAGCACTCACCCGAATTTAAAATATTATAACCTTATTGATCTACCTAACGACGAAAACGCTCGAAAAGCAATAGTAATATGGACTATTACCGTTTGTATACCAACTATACATTGTGATAGATATTTACAATACAATTTCTCATATCAGCTGATAATTTTCGTCGTTTGCCATCAGAATTTATTCCCATATATTATTCCAGAACGTTTTCGTCGAATGTGTACTATTGTGTTCGTCGTTCATAGCGCAGGCATTTTTAATATTAACGTGCACCGTGATTGCAGAAGCCCCTGATGCGTCCCGAACTGATGATGTCCAGAGACAAAATGAGCCAGATCATTCACCAGACCCCGCCGATGGAGAAAAACTCCTGTTGGAAGTCGTGGATGTCCAAGTTTCCCACTAGATCCAAACGCATTGACGTCATATCCCGCATACTCTTCCCGATGGTGTTCGCCATGTTCAACATGTCCTACTGGTCCACATACTTGTTTCGCGAGGGCGTAGACGAAGACAAATAAACACAAACAAAAAAAAAAAAAAAATACCAGCCAACATCCAAGTCAAGTTAATTATTAAAATATTACTAAAGTGTAGTGTGTCTTGTGTACCAACCCCTGTGATAACGCTAAAGTAATTTTGTTTTTCGAGTGTCGTCCCCCATATCTTTTTTTTTTTTTATAATTATATCGTCCAAGTACAATATTATAATAACAACAAATACGATGATGATTGTATACAATAATGTATTCTGTATGGTCGACGTACAATGTACACTCTCAGAATTTGTTAATAATAATAATCATTTATAGTTATTGACCAAAACCACAATCGTACTCGTATGTTAAATACATTCCGTTTTTTTTTTTTAAGAAATTCTTCTTCTTCTATTTTGTACATGCTATGCTCAATATTTTACCATCGAACCAACTAAAAACGGTCCATTGAATAAAATATACCATCTCAACGAATAAAAGAGACAAGGTCCTCTAACGAAACCCGTCAACGTTCTGCTCACAATCTAAGTCCGAGTCGTTCCATCCGTAATCCTTTTGCCGGCCGAGCAATAGTATATAATAATTTTTGTCCATTTGATATTGTACAGAATCTAACCCTGCCATTAGTGCGCTTTTTTTACCTCTGTCGACCACGGCGTTTTTACCAATCTAGTATACAAGTCCCTAGCACTCAATGATGTCAATTTACACATTCGGTTGTCGTGCAGATATTAGCTGTTAATGAATTTACAATGCCGCCATAATTGAAATAGATAACATCATTGCAATCAAGAGTAAACCCGAACTCTAAAAAATACACGTGTAATTAACAATTTTTGTTTTTATTGTTTATCTATAAAACGAATTGAAGCTTGTAAAATATTGTCTTATAATAAAGAAAAAAAAATACATCAACAGAATAAAAATCATGTTTCCGCTGTATCATAATTATACATAATATGTAATACTTTTATCATCCGTTTAATTTTATGTATAGTTATTTTCTTTAGATTAATATAATATGTATATTAAGACAATTAATATATTATATTTATGAATTTATGAAAATTGATAAATCTATTTCTAATCATTAGATAAAATGTCAATAATTTTTCCATATGTTCGCTCTGACTTTATGATAAACTCGGATTTACTATAATATTAAACGTTAAACAAGTCATTTTTAGATAAGTAAATAATTATGTAAAATTTAATTTTGCCACGTAAATATTGTATTGTCGGAACGGATATAATAAGTAGATATTTATTGTTCACATTAAATCATAATAATATAATGTTTTTTTTTATATATAAATAATGTTGATTTAATGACATTGTATTTTGTTGATTGTATAAAACAAAGTCAATCATAAAAGACGTGCTTCGTATCGATATACGTTTGCGAAAAATAAACTGTACTTCAGTATATAAATATTTGCATTGTTATAGAAAAATGTATACATTTCCCTTCCCATTTATTTTAGTCAGAGTATGAGCGAGAGCAACGCTAAACAGTTTTTGATAAAGACATTTTGAATATTAATGTTGTTTACAGCATTACAAATCATTACTGTACGTCTGTGCCTAAATAACATCTTTATAAAATATTTACTAAAAAAAAATATATATTTGTTATCAGTGTTCCTTATGAAAAAACTAAGAATCATGAGTATACAATAATAGTACACATTTTTAATTGTTGTCGTTTGCCGTCTTTTACAATACAATAATAAACTCGTGTAAACTCATAAACTTGTTGAATATTCGGACCTTACTTGGAAAGTATGAAGTAAAAGCTGAAGAAAAGTCACCAATTACTGATGCATATTACAAATTATAAGATATTCAAAACGTAATTGTACCAGGTTTTTATATTTTATTGTAATTTCGTACCTTCCGAGAAACGCAAATTAAAAAAAAAACCTAGCCTTCCTCCTATTTCGTCCTAACTGCTCTGGACAAATTGTAAGTCATAAACATTAATTTGTAAGTAACTGTAACCAGATTTTAAAACTGTGTGTTAACCCTGCTTGAATAGTATTGTTTTAATATAATAAAAATATGAACGACAAGTTACACACTTAAAAAGGAGAAATGTCCTCAAGCATATGTTTCTGATTTCAGTATACACTAGTATACTGAGTAGTAGTATTTGCTCTAACTATGCTTATACGTTTGTATTTGTAAAAGTACCTAGGTTTAGTCGTTTGGGTTTAATAAATGAATTGAAATTAAAAAAACTAGAGACTATCAACAGGATAGCAACGTTAAACGAACGCGACATTTTTTTTTTTATTTTACATCAGAAATATACAATCTGTACAATGAGCACAATAAGCATATATGATAAAAGTAGAGATAAATTACATGAATACATTTTGATGGAAGAAACCACTCATTAGTGACACTTCCAATGATTTTTTTTTAATTTTTAAACTTATATTTACATTGATCTAATTATTTATTAATATTAATTGATATTATTAGATAGAAGATCACGACATCACTTACGTTTTAAACGTCTGGGTGGGTCTCCAGGTATGGACAAGGTTGAGAGGTTTTTTATAAGGGGATTAGAGTGGGAGAGTAGTTTAATGTGGAATCTTTTATAGTAGGAGATAGCTTCTTCATGGACTGTTTTTAAGTTAAGGTCGTTATGGAGTGTATAATTAGAGATATAAGGAGGTGCATTGATTAATTTTCTTAAGACAATATTTTGAAAGCATTGAATTTTATTGGTATTGGATTTTTTAGCATTGCCTCATAGCTGAAGGCCGTAAGTCCACATGGGTTTTAAAAGGGTTTTATAAATAAGAAGTTTTGTATTAATATCTGTAAATTTATTGTTTACGATTAATGATTTGAGTAACCGCAGACGGCTATTTAGAGACAAACGTTTAATTTTAATTTTAATTTTAACGCGACATACAAAATATTATTATGTACCTAGGTGACGCTTTGCAAGGTGTTTAACTCGGTGCATTGTTTAGGCAATCCAAATGCTCGTGGAATAAAAACGTCCCAATGATGTTTTGATTACCAAAAAAGTTAGTTTTTTCTACAATACCTATCGAAACCACAAATATAACACCGGGTGATTCTTAACGCCCTACACTAGTTCACTCTTATAATAATTTCAATTTTGTAGTGTTTCTTTGAAAAAATTCTTCTATATTTTATAGTACAATATTCAAATGTTTATCTTTTTTAGTATTAGCTAGAGCTTTATCAACTTTTAAACCTTAAACGGTAACATATTTATATATATAATTATTTTTGAATTCATTTTAGCTTACGCATATAAATTTCACGTTTATTATATATTATGGTCCTTATATAGATATTTGGAAAATTTGTATTCTGACATTTGTTAACATTTTCAATTGAATCCTTCTGTCTTCATGTATATACAAGCCGAAAAGTTTTTATATTGTTTTTGAAATATGCTAGCGAGAAGTTTTTATTTATTATTTTTTCAAAAACCATTTCCCGAGACAACACATGTTACAAGTTACAATTTTGATAATAAGAGGGAGGGGATAATTTCACACACGTTTCCGCTAGATCTAATCAAACCACTTGGCCAATATGCCTATATGATTAATACTATTGTATTGGATGTATTCAGTATTTGGGTTATTTTCTTGATTTCGAAAGGTAAGTGATAAACTTTATACATTTTCGACTTGACAAAGAACAATTTCTGATCTATAGGATTACTATACAGTATACATGATGAAATCGGTTCAGCGGTTTAGGTTTTATCGTCGTGACACGGGCTGTGTCATTTTTTTTAGTGCATACAACGTTTCAATATTGATACAACACAGCTATACATTTATGCATATCACATGGATAAAAAAACACGAGTTGACTGCGTCACAACGTAAACCATCAAAACTGATCCCAAAAACACCTTTATAATAAATTGTGTACCAAAAAAAAACAGCAATAATTTTTGTCTGTATTTCTTATGAAAAGACTCATGGTTGTTAATAATTGTAGTGGTTTCTAATCGTTGTCGTGACCGTCTTTCGCAGTACAACAATGACGCCGGGTAAACTCATACGATTGTTGTATACTTGGGCGTTACTGGTAACATTTAAAGTAGATGCATCTATTAAAAAGTTAAGGGTTGTCGATGAGTACGACAAACTATACGAAATCGAAAACGGGTATGAAAAACCTGATTCAAAATCGGCTTTATTCGGGAAATATGAGATTTCAAGAAATATGGTTGACGACGAACTGGATAACATCAGGTGCGGTTTTACATTTATAGCGTTGTCTTACATGTGCATTTCCGAATACCTACTACGCTGGGACGGCGAAGATCGGATCGACGCCGTAATAGATCACATCGAACCGATTGGCCAACATGCCTATAAGATGATTGTTATTCTTTATAACGTCGGTGCCGGGAGGTTCATGTTCGACATGTGGTTGTTTTATTTGTACGCTAGTAAAATTCAAATGTTCGGAGCTTATGTTAACAGTGGCGGCAAGAGTAGTTTTAGGAAAAATCTTATGGACATTTACGATATCCACCTGAACATAATGGAAAAACTAAAAAAAAACGTAAGGCGCTGTAGAAACAACCGTTTGTACGTCGACAGCAGAACAACTTCGCTGTACGAGAGTTATAAATTTTTGAGCAGATCGGACGATACCACGGTGGCCTTTAGCATGATCAGGGAACACTATACCGAGGTGAACAAATTAATTGCCCACAACGACAACTTGACCGTTGGGACGGAAAACGCAGAATACTTAAAAATAGACCGACTGTACTTGAACGATTTGATCCTAAAGGACGACATCATAGACGAACTGCAAAACGTCTTTGACCGGAACATAACCTGGGGCAACACCAACGACGTATTAAAAAAGACTTGGGACAATCTGAAGAACCCGGTGATCGTGTTTGATGGGTTGAGTGGGTTTCAAAAATATCACTCGCAGTTCAAAAACGTGATCAAAACCATTATTTTGCGTATAATTTGGTCACACTTGCTGATACTGGAACGCCTTGTAAACATTAACATGGCAGCCGGTGACGTAGCATCACAAATAGCTAAAAAATCGACGTTATCGAAAATAAACAATCAACTGTTGAATAAACTAGTGCCCAACAGATCAACGGTATCAAAAAAAAACAAAAAACTTATGAGAATAATAATACCGTTGTTGTCATTTTTAGAGCTACAAGCAGACGGCGATCTAATAGAACTAGTGAAATGTTTGAAAAAAGAACCATGGCAATGCCTCGAGGATGGATTAGGAATTGCATTAATTTCGAAGATGCTAGAATTATTGGCATCGCGTTTCGAGGGTTTAAACGCGTTTGATGGTGTACTGAATGAAGAACAGGAATTGAAAGATAATTATAGTGACTGGACCGAACTGGCCGAAAAAAGAAACTTGTCCGTACCATTCCTACCGGATAAGAAATTTACCGCCTATAATATAAACTACACGCGAGCTGTCATTTTTTCTGAATATGTCCATCACATTTTAGAAAATGTTGATTTTAAACTGATGAAATCTATTTTCGAATCGTCAAACTTTACACGTTTTGACGGACTTATGTCATCCCAGATACGGTATGAGCACGAAATGTCTGTGAGTACTAGATCCAGTTATTTGTCTTCGGAAGATAATACAGAATCTCAACAATTAGCATCAATTGATGATGATGATGAAATTGAGATACAAGAAAGTATCCTAAGCCTTGATAAACCAGTAGTTGAGCTCGAAACAGGGGAAACATCAAATAAAAACCGAGAACATAGTTTAGACGACTCTGACACTACACCCCTTGAACAAATAAATGTAAGTGGTGAAAACATTTTATATGAGCCTAGTAAAAAAGAACCAGAACCACCGGAGGATGGCCACAATGAAAATGTTGAAAATAATATACAGGATGCTTCAAGTTCTTCCGAAGAGAAACAAGAAACTGGTGAGAGAGAAAATAATAAAATTGAAAATAATTTAGGACAAGAAAATAATAAATTAAAAGAAGATGAAGCCGGAGATAGTGATACAGAAACGTTATTAAATAAAAACGTGAAAACAGAAAATGATTTAAACGATACTCTGCCTATTGAACCTGATAAGGTAGAAATATCAAATGAAGTTGAAGAAATTGGATTTGAAAATTCTAAAAATACACACTTAGAAGAATCCCCAAGTGTTACCGTCGATAAAAGTATAAACAATGAAATAGAAGTTCCTTCGCCAGAACCATCAATGAAATTGAACAAAGATGCTGTACTAGAACCAGATTCATCTGAAATTCATGAGCATGTACCTATGCAAGTGGGATCAAATATATATAACTCATCTGATACTTCTGGTATTTCTTTAGTAGAAATAAGAGCCCCTCCACTAGAACCATCACCTAGAATGGATGAATTCCTTGTTCTTGAACCAGATGCGTCTGCGATTCATAAGCATGCATCTATACAAGTAGAATCTGATAAATATAATTTTTCTGATACTTCTGGTATTTCTTCAGTAGAAATAAAAGCTTCTCTGCCAGAACCATCAAC